TGTGACAGCGGCACGGAAATAACTCCACGAGTTAAAATTTCAGTCAGCGATTGGGGTGTGTGCGGCCACCGGCGCGTCTGCCGGGGTGGTGGTCCCGCCGCGCTCATACAAACCCATGGGTTTCCACCATTTGCGACAGGTATGTGACAGAGGGTTACTGTAAATAAACTTTCCTTATGTAATTGTTTATTTCTCTTACAGAAGCAGAACACTCAAAACTGCATCCAACAAGAACTCTGAAGCCTGTGCACAAAATTAGCGATTCTTCCTCATCCCACCCAATGATTATGTTCATGAGAGTCAGCGGGACAGAAGTGCTGAAGTACCTCAGTTTTACGGATACACAGTCAGCCACGTAAGACGCTGGAGAGAAGACTGACCTGAGCCTGAGGAGACCTTCTTCAGTGACCTCATCGTCTTCTGAGGAACCTAAAATCAGAGAGCTGGAGTCAGTACTGCATACACTGTCCCAGTCTACAGTATTTAATTACCTCATCTCCAGTTTAACAGGTCATTAGGAGGCCAAAAATGCCAGGGCATCGACTCTATGAAGTGACCTGTAAACCTACTGTTTGAGACTTACCTAGCTCATCAGAATCACAGTGAGATAACCAAGGTGTAAGGAAGAAAATCAAGTGCTGCTTCCCCGCCGTCCCCGTCCTCCCCCCCCCCCCCCCCCGCCCCCAGCACCATTAAAAGCATTGCTTCTTTCATTTGTCTCTTATGAAAGCTACAGGGAAAAGACACAGATTTGCAGAATATTGGAAGGTGTTATTTTCCTTTATCAATATTTAATTGCAGTAGGTAACCCAAGAACTAGTGAGTTGTCTTTACTATGCTTAAATTTTACATATTAAACAATCAAGTCATACCTTGCATATGATTTAAGAAAAGCCAATAAAAATAATTCTCCTGGATGTTTTCATGGTCGAAATAGTAACTCAATGCCAACTTATGAGTATCAACAGAAAAATGCTTTTAGCATTTTAAAATACTTAGACTTATAAAACTGTAGAGCACAGAATGTAATAATATTAAATTCTAGGACTCAATCTAAACAAAATCAGTCATACAAATACAGATATGTGACTTGACTGAAATTTCAAAAAGGTGCACTTTTGCTTTAGTTGAAAAAGGCCATGCTTATTTTGTATCATGTCAACAAAAACATTACACAGAAAAAAAACGCTGCAGATGGCATGAAGCATTAACAAAAATACTTTTGTTTTGGACTATACTTGTTACTTAGGCTGTCCCGTTTGCTTATCAAATGAAGGATTAATACATAGAAGCATGCACAAACACACCTGCCACAAGCATGTCCTCCTGTCACCCTCTACTGTCTTTTTGAATAAACTATCTTAACTAAAACCCATGCAAAAAGAAACAAAGAATTGCAGTATCAACCTGTTTAGATATAATCCCAATTCTCTTCTGTATTAGAGAAATCTGAATTTTGTCTATTTTTTTTTTTTTTTCCAGTTTAAGAGAACATCTGGACAGCTATCCTGCTCTCTTACTAAAAACCAAAAAATAAAATTGTATATCCTTCTAGGAGTGAGCAAAGTCAGAAGAAAGAACAAAGACAAATGAGAACCAACTTTCTCTAACTTCTTTTCCCTTACAGTCAAATATCCCGAATCCTTTCCAACACCAGAAATTGGAAAAGAGGATGGTACAATCTTTATTTTCAGTGCAACAACTGGCAAGCTGATTCAGCTCCTCTTCTTTTGTAGTAACTAACTTTTCCAGTGGAATTGTGTAGGCTTTTGTCTAGTATTAAACCTAACTCTGCTTTTACACCTTCAAGCACTGAAGCCCAATCTCTTGTATCTGCTTCTTTGTTCTGCCAACCTGTGGCTATGTGGCTTTTGTGTCTTTCAGATTTACTTGCATTATTTATGCAACATAATGAAATATGCAAGCATAGAGTAAAGGATCCATTCTTGGCTTTAGAACATAGCCTGCTTCAGTTTATGAGGGGATTAAAAATGAGTATTTGCGGGAGTGGTGTTTGGATTCAAAGGAGCAAAGTACAGTTCTTAAAAACTGTAGCAGAAAACAGGACAAGTTATTCTTGTTTCCAGTATTGTCATTTTGTAACACATTTTTAAGCATTAGATATTCTAGAGGGTCACATAATAGATCATTAAGCAGAAAAATGGATATCTATTTCTTTTACAGTTACTACAAAAAGCTTCCTGATACAATACTTAAAGCTTGGCATAAGAATCAAAATCAGTAACTGATTTAAATGGAAGCAGGTTTGGGCTCTGGAGTGGCTCATGGTGAACTCTCCTGTACCTGCTTATGCCTGTACAAACCAAATAATTACTTTGGCATTTTACTTCTGAAACTATCTTGGTATTTACATGAACTTCGTAACTCCAAGTAAGTAAGTAAATGCTGCTAAGGAATTGTGTACTAGACAGTATGATGTTTTCAGAGAAAAAGTCACTACCTTTGAAAGCAATCCTTATTTTAATGAGGCATTCATAGCATGTGGAAGGATACTGCAACAGTGAGCATGAAAATTAATGCAAGAGAACACCATATGGAATTATTTCTGGAAATTAAATACAATGAAAATAGGAAATACAATGAAAAGCGCAGTATCAGTTAAAGGCACGCTGACAGACACCCAACAAACGTAATCCACTTTCCCTTAACTAGTAGCACATTCTGTAATTCAACTGACTTTACAGCTCATATAATCTATTTTTGACAACTTATCAATCGGTAAAAAATAATAGCAAGTTTATATCTATTTAAAATGAATTCTCTGAAATATGGATTGTTTTGAATTCATTACCTTAAGCAGGTTTGCTGCCAAAGGATTTAGAAACATTGTTTGGAAGAAAGTAAAGCAGACATAAATAGTTACTCCACTTAAGTAAGACATACACTTTCCTCCAAAAGTAAATTGAAAAGAAAAATTAATATGTTAAAACTGTTTCTTTCACAGTGGTAGCCAAAGTACTTCTTCCAAAGTAAAGCCAGCAATATTTTTTTAAAGAATGCTGGGTACTGTAAGTATGATTAGAGAGTAGAAGAACTAGAAAACAAAACCCACCAATCCTTTATTTTGTAACAAACAAGGAAAATATTCCAGTATTGAAAGGATCTTCTTTCAGTTAACTCATCAGGAGTGAAGACTTAAATGGATGAATGCTGCAAAGTATACAAAATTTTAAAACTCTGTGGACAGAACCCAAGCTTAGTAAGAGCATAAAACATGAGCTTTTAAAATGTATCCATATACACACTCCAGTTAGATATAGTAACAAACTTTGCTGTCATTTGAACCAGTCAGTAAAAATTAACCTTACTTACTGTTCTATTTTGTTTGCCCTTTTCATTTCATTCAGTTCAATATAGTTACTTTGAAACACATATATAAGAAAAATTAACATTTCCTGAAAAGGTACACTCAAGTGTTAATGTCCTTATGTAATCACAGGGTGGATAAAGTTGAAAGCTCTCACAATTTTATTCTTTGCTTAGCCATATTTTTCTTTGCTTTTCTTCCATGCTTCTGTTTATACACCATTACAGTATTTTTCTAGCATGTGAAGATGAAAGCAAGTATGTGCGAGATATTTTAAAATATTTTCACAACGCTGATTTAAGAAAATTAATTGAATTACCACCATCTGAAAACTTAAGCTTTCTTTGCTAATTTCACTCACTTTTGTCACTGATCTGAAGGAGAGTAACTACAGCTTCAAGTAAATAACACAGCTAGGCAATAGCCCAAATATGCTTTTTTTCTGATATAAAAGAGGCTAAGCATATCTTAGTTTTTAGGAAATTAAGAAACCAACATCCAGTTACACACCTTTTAATTATGTGTAAGAATGTAATTTGACTACAGTGAGAACTAGAACAAAGAAAAGAAAAATGTGCTTCCACCATTGTTAGGAATCTGATTCTTCTGGGCAATAAAAAAGGTAATGAACTCCACACAATATCAGAATGGGAGCCAATGAAAGCCTGACAACTCTAGGATCAGAGTTTCTCCTCAAAATTAAATGCTACTACTGTACTGACAATTATTTTAGCAACAAAAACTATTTAGCATTTATTTAGCTTAAAACATAAATAATACTTAACAATGGAATATGCTGAAAAAGGTTATTTTTGTTTAAGGGATTGCAATTACTTATATACAATTCTCATATTTAGTGTATTTGATTTAGTAAAATCTGCAATTTCTTATGGTCTGCATTTGAATATACATATACTAAACAATGATCATAATTATTGAATTAAAAAGCAATGTAAAGCAGGTATGTTTCAAACAATATTTTGTGATCCAAACATGAATTTTTTAAACACACTATGTAAAAATGGATAACTGCTGTTCTACTTCCTACATATTTATTTTGTTCCCAGTTGAATGTTATCAAGAACATTTGAAATTGCTACACACTGATTTGCTATACAGCAAATGAAACAATGAGAAAACTACTTTGTGATCTTATTACATGTTTGCGGATGATTTTTCTTTGTACTTCTTAAATTACTACATGTCAGTACTTTGTAAGGAAAAGAACTTTAAAAGCCCTGATTCTCAAATCATAGGTATGTAACATTTTTCAGAGTTTGATCACTGATTTATTACATATAGAGAGCAAGTTATTATTCCCCCACTTGATAACTATTTGCAAACAAAACAATGCCAAATGAAGTACTGAAAAAAAAAAACCTGCTAAAGGACAAATTAAGAACGAATATTATGACAAGCTGAATTCAGTATTTGTACAACTTACAACTTTCACTTGGGTTATAAAAATACTGCAGCCAAGTAGGATTTTAACATCATCCCATCAAAAGTGATGGCACTACAAGTTTTATTTTAAAAATTGAATAATTTTTATTTACTTTTATAAAAATTGTATTATGGTTTGTTCAGATCTCCTGAGATGTTTTACATCAACACTTGTTTTGATGGAATTCACACATCTTCACATATCTTTTCCTTTGCACAGAACTTCTGTCTTATTTGCATATTCTATTTAACTACAAACCACAGAATCTCCTTTCTTCATTTTTACTGGGTTTTTAAATTATTACTTGAGAGCACTACTAATGATGGATTTTATAATAATTTGTATTTTGCAATATGCTCATCAAGCACTGCTATGGATATAATCAAACATTGTAGAAGTTAAAGAGCAGATGAGTGTCTGTATTTTAAACACCAATATTCACTTTCCTAGAAGAGTGGATAGTTCAAGGCATATCCTTCCAATTTCAACTGGAGTGGACAACAGTCCTTTATGTCAATGGCTTCTGACTGAGCTATTGTTTCAAACAGCTGAACAGATAAAGTAATGCAATGGTCACTTTTTATAAACTTTAGTGGAGATAGGTTATTAATTCAAACCAGAAAAAAAAAACAACAAAAACAAGAACATCAGTGATAT